ATGACGTGGTACCTGTGGGAACCTTGCTGGGGAACAAATGATATGTCCTGCCGCATAGAGCCCATGTGTCTTTCCTTCCCTCGAGACCAACATCCCTTGGCCTGGTTTTAGTAGCAGAAATAGGATTCTTGCGAAGGAGAAGCGCTCGATGATGGATTTCAAACACATTTTTATATAATTTGATACTGAAGTCAAGAAATTCTTTCAAAAAATGTGTCCTACCACATGGAGCCCATGGACCTTGCCTACCGATATCAAGCTTCCTTCGCTTGCTTTAAGTAGCAGAAGTAGGATCTCCCTTCGCTTGCTTTCAATAGCGAAAGTAAGATTCTCGGGAAGTACAAGCGGTCGATGATGAATTTCAAAAGCAAGTTTCTATAAATTTGGCATTAAAGCCAAGAAATTCTTTCAACAAATATATCTTGCCGCATGGAGCCCTAAACCTTGCCTTCCTCGAGACCAAGCTCCCTTCGCTTCTTCGCTTAGTTATTAGAAGCGGCCGATAATGAATTACAAGCGAGTTTATACAAGTTGGCACTGAAGCCAAGAAATTCTTAGAGAATACGTCCTCTCCCGAAAACTACTTCTAAAAAGGATCAGGCAGGAGAAATCAGCGGTCAAGAATTACCATAGCACTCAGAGGTAGATCCAAATTATGGTATGATGACAACGACAAAACATTTGTGCTAAATTAGAAGTCTGGAATCAATGTTTCGCAACTGCTGTTTTTAAGCTTTGTACATGACACGAGAGACAGACAGACATACCCGTATCTTTTGCAAACATGCCCGCATCATTTGCATCATAAGCAAGCTGAGGACTAATTTTCACGTTAAGTACTTATAGTCCGAAGACTGATTTTGAACAAAGTCAACAGTCTGAAATCTGGAATGCCCTCGTTCTGTGGGAAAACAAACAGCATTACACTAAAGCATATGGGGCGATACTCCCGTCGGATTGCCTTGGTTGCTACTAAAAGATATTATAGTAAAATACCGCTATGTCTAGATCTTGAATTGCGGGATGTAATAGTGCGCTCACGCAAGAATAAGAATTACGCAAAAATTTGCAGATTTTGAGGGAAGCCTTCTTAGTCGAAGGGGCCTTTTCAAATGAGCCGTTGACGAGCATTGAAAGCTGATTCCAAATCTGTTCTTATCTTCAACAGCCTGTAAATGCAGAGTTATGTTTTCTGAAGCATAAAATGCAAGTTGAAAAATGCAATTACTATTTAAAATTAACTTTCACGGTTTTCCAGAGTTCAATCAGAGGTATTTAGTATGAGTATTTTAGGCAGAAGTCTCCTATACACAAAATGATTCAATATCAAACACTAACCATTTGAGTAAATCTGGACAATCTTTTCTCGGTGGCGCATTCAATTTTTCAACCTAAGAGACGCGCTAACAAGAGTTTAAAAGCTCCTGGCAGTTAAAAAAGACTGGTTTAAACTCAACAGTGCTTGCAGTAGTATGGTCGTCATGTGGAAAGACCACTGTAAAGAGATTCTCTTGGCCATTCACCACTTGCTATCTTAAGCAAATTGAACAAGCTAAAGTTTTAGGAAATTTGCTGACTTTTTAAAAACAATCCAAAGATATGCAAAAACTGCCAAAACCTTGCCGCATCTGCTTACAAAGTTTCCTGCTGCAAGTAAATAATTTGAGAATTAGCAAAAGACGAGATTAGACGAGCAAAAAATGAAGGATCAAGCTTTGACTTTGACGATCATCTCCGCTCGCTGGGCGAGGCGACTTGGGCATAAATGTTGTAAAGAAGAAAAAATTTTGCATGGGATATTGCTCTTACGGTATACCCCTATTTTATGAGAGGGTGAACAGGAAAGAGATTTTTCTCACTTTTCCTTGAAGTAGTTGTAGCGGGTGCTACCTCCAAAAGATGATTCAACTTATTGTGAGAGTTTCTGGGATTGGCCAGCTGATCTCTCTAATCGACTTTGCTGTTAAGCGCCAAACAGACTAGTTTTCTCTACAAAATGTCTGATTCCAGAAGTTGCCAATGAGCGTATGAAAGAAGGTGCCCAGACAACAAAGGAAGCAGGCCGTAAGCTCTATTATATTGTTTGCTTTTGTAACTCAGTTTTAACAATAACTTTCAGAAGATCTCGGTGATGCGTTCAGGGAGTTAAAAGCGGGTTGTAAGTTCTTTCGTTCTAACTCGACTTAGCATAGCTAGGCACTTCAGATCAAGCAGGCCGTAACAACAACTCTCAACACTGCCAAAAAGAAACAGAAAGGAATGGTCAGAAAAATGCACAGAATAATGGCTCTCAGAATTACCAGAAAGAAACAAAAAAGGATGGTCCGAAAGATGCACAAAAGAACGATTTTCAACATCTCGAGAAAGAAACAGAGAAGGATGGTCAGACAGATGCACCAAAGAATTAACTCACAAATTTATGAATTCAATAGACTTGAACATGACTTAATATACGATAGAATGAACATACTGCATTCATATCGTGGAAACTACAGAATGCAAACCACAGCTGTTTTACTGATGTAGAGTAGTGCAAGAGTAAGAAATGTGAGTTTGGGTTGGAACCTGTGTTTCTGTAGCGCGCGAAGTATGTTGATGACATTTACTGCTGTAGGTCCATCCTTGATGTATGTTTTCCTAGACAGTCAAGAAAACTTTCGCAATCTTTTTCTACTAATGGCAACATAACATGAGACAGATACGAATGTTTTATCGTTTTTCCTTCGTTAAAATCGGCGTGTGAACATCCAAAAATGCGAAGCCCATCAAACTTTTTGTTTTTAAATCCAATTGATCTTTTACGAAATGACACTTGGTTTTGAATCTCACTGAATAACCTGCAAAACGAAATGCCTAAGTTACCAAGAGGAAACCTTTGTATTCTGCCACAAACCATCGCATGACAATAAAGTGCTGTAAATGCCTATTGTCCAAGAGACCTGAAAAGGCATATTACACGCTTGTCACGCAAACCTGATTTATAGAAGCATCGTGGCGAAATTCTAGTGAAACAATAAGAGCTTCATAGACGTAAAACAATGTTTGCTATTGTTGCTTTTATTATTAGCTTGTGCCATGATTTGTTTTAGTTTGTAATTTCCAGTAGGTTTGGGGTATGTTGAGGACCAAAAATTTTGTCGACATTTGAACATTCATATCAAAATTTGTCGACGTGATTCGAAATCGTGATATGTGTGAGTATTTGAAATCATTGTAAACTAACAAATCAAAATACCACGCTTTCTTCAAGGACATGGCTTGCATTGGGTCCTCAGTCTAAAAATTCCAAAGTAAATACCTTGCAATGAATACGATAATTGTTTAGCTTATGATTGAAAATTTTCTAAGAGCACTGTTCATTATGTACCAGCTGGCATGCCTGGCTTCATCCGCACGGCGTCTTCGACGGGCTCAACAAAGAACAGAATTAGCTTTCAATGCTAATTTGGCCTTGAAGGCTCAACCTTAAAGGC